TAAATTAAAAATTATTTTATTATACTAAAAATTATTTTATTATACTAAATATAATAATTAATATAATTAATATACAAATAAAAAGGAAATATTAAAGTTAAAACATTTTAGAGAAAAATAAGTTTTTTTTATAAAAAATACTTGTAGATATTTTATTTTATTTTACCATAAAATATTTCAATTTGCTGCATATTATCATTAAATCTTTTTAAAAAAGTTTAATATTTATACGTTATTTTGAGATAAAGAATTATACCGTCAAGATTCAGTAAAAATTATAATGTAATATTTTATTTATTGCAATGATTTTTTAATATCCAAATTAAAAATATAATTATTACATCAAATTTTTTACGCTTTGATATATATAAAAAAACATGTTTACATTTTTATAGTGCAACCAATGAAATATTCATCAATAATATTTTAATGACTAAATTTATGATACAAAATATTTTTTTAATCATATTTTTCGTTTAAAAGAAAAATTAATTTTTCACTTTATTTATTCATTTCATTATGGCCAATTTTCCTCTAATCTATTTATTTAGATTAGATTAAACTACTGTAATATATTTTTAGTTATACTAGTAATAATAATAAAAAATAATTTAAGAAATAACTATTTTGTCGACATAATAAAGGAATATAATAATTTACATTCATTAATGCATTCCCTTTATATTAATTATATAATTATATTATAATTATATAATTTAAAAGAATTATATTGTTTTTAAATTTATAATTTAAAAATTTTAATAATTTTTAATAATCTTTATTTAATTTATTCGCATAATTCTTTTAATGTTAATATGATATACAATGATATAAAAATTATTCAAATATGACGAATTATTCCATATGTTTTAATATTAAAAAAATTGCTTATATTATATATTACATATTAATTTATAAATAACTATTTTTAAATTTAGATATATATACAATTTATAATTAATTTAAAATTTAAAAAAGCTACAAGTGAACAACGGTGAAAAATAAAAACACAAATTGTATGGGAATCAAATGTATAGAAAAAAAGTGTTGCAAAAGAAACTAACTTTAATATAATAATAATTGAATTCTAAAAATGAACTCTAAATAGATTCAGTGATTTGAATGGTGACAGTTGAAATGTAATAAGTGAAAGAACTAATAATATTTAATAAAAGAATAATATGCATATGCAACATTATGAAAATGTTTAGCAAAAGAAGTTCCTAAAAAGAAAAAGTTATAAACGAAAATATCTTGGAGATGATCATCTCTTCAATGATGAAGAAAAAAGACAATCGTGAAATTTAGGTGAGTTTTTAATTTAATAATATTTATAATCTTATAAATATCTAATAATAAAATTTTTTCTTAATTTATTATTTTTATAAATTTTTAAATGTAAAGTTTATATGATTATAAATTATCATTAATATAAAAAACAGGAAAACATTCTTTAATTTTAGAATGAAAGAATTTAAAAATTTAATTTTTTTTTTTAAATCTTTCAATTTTTAAATTTAATTTTCGAATTTCCAATTTTTTCATATTTGAAATTAAAAAATTTTAAATTAGTTATAAATAGATTCATTGCAAAATAAATTTTATTGTTTTTTTATTATTATTTCATAATAATAATATTAAAAATATTTCAAATAAGATAATAATTATTTTTTAAATTATATTAGGTATCGCGAACAAAAATTGAATAAAAAAAAATGTAAATAAAAGAAAAGACTTAATCTATAATCAAATATTGTGATATTTAAACTAAAAATTAAGAAGAGAAGATTCAAAAGATTCAACTCATAAATTCGAAAGATTATAAAACTTTGAAATTTTAAATATGTGCATATAATGTATTATAAATTTTTTTTGAAAATTTGGTTATTTTTCGATTTTATGCTATAACTTGCTATAACTTGCCAATTATAACAGATAGAAGAAAAGTTTTCAGATAAATTGTTTTTTTAAATAAAAATTATTGTTAGTAAAAAATTTATCAATTATTTATATAATTTATAATTTTTTTGAGAAAGTTAACTAAAGAATTGTTTAATAAATAGTTAATAAATATAATTTTAATTAAATTAATTTTAATTAAATAGTTATATTACAAAATAATATGTAAATCTAATCAACATACATCTATATAATAACAAATCTAATCAATATTTACATACAATCTCTAAAAAAAAATTATAGGAATGATACAATTGATATATATGATTTCCACATAAAATTATAATTTAATTAAATTATATTATATTCATATTCTTCTAGTCTAAAATTATATAAAAATTTTTTGATTTTAGAGTACATTATACGATTACGATATAAATTTATATATACGAAATATCATTAAATTAATCTTTTATTTAAAATATTATTATAAAAATATTACGACCTATTTGCTTAAGCATAATGTAAAATATATTGATAAAAAATCAAATAATTTTGAAAATCTATTTTGTTTTTTCAGAGTAAGATTTTGTACATTTACTTCATTATTTCATATGTTCCAATCATGCTATATGTATATGGTATAACAAATTTTTATGTTTTAAATATTTCTTTATTACCATAAATAATTCATATATTTATGATATTATTATATCGTATTCATATCCATATTCATATACTTAAATGTTTTATATATGTATATGTTTTCAAAATTATCTAAATATAATTGATTGTTTATTATATTTCTATATAAAATTTACTTCGTCAGAAAATAAAAATTTGATAATTATATTAAAAATAAAAAGTTCTAATAAAAATGATTAAACAATTTTATTTATTTCCATTTATTTTATTACATAATATAAATTATTTTATGAGTAAATATAAAAAAGAATTGCTTGTCAATGTGATACATTGCTCATCAATAATACAAGCACGTACAATGAAAAGTTCCAAATTATCGCGGAACAAAATATACAAGTAATATACAAAAAATATATTTGAAATAAAAAAAATGTTTTTTATATTGTATGTTTTTTATGTTTTATGATTATTGATTAAAATTTCGCATAAAAAAGTAAATTAAAAAATAATAAATTTTTTATTTATAACTTTTTTTTAATTACATTAATAATTAATAAATCTTTTATTAAATGATAGTAATTTTTACTAAAATAATTAAAAACAAAATTTTTTTTTTATCTTTTACAATTTTTGAATTATAACACAAAATCGAAAAATAGCCAAATTTTCATGAATTGTTTCTTTAAAATGAATTTGGACAATAAAAAAAAATTGCATAATATATATCTATATTTGTATATCAAAATAGAGATTTTAACAGAAAATATTATCAACATTAGATAGTCTCACATCATCAGTCAAAAAATCTCGGTGAATGAACCGAGAATGTATTTCTCTTTAAAAGAAATTAGCAGTAATATCTTTCAAAACTCAAATACTTTAGAGTGATAAATGCAAAGCATGAGGTATTCAGTTCTTCGCACACTACTGGTATCCTTATTAACATTATTACTATGAATTATGTTTTTCTCACTTTTAAAATAACATGTAAAAGAATTAAAAATAAAAAAATTAATATTTTTCTATTCTGTGAATAATTTTTTCTGAAGAATATTTCAATTTTTTAAAAATTGAATAAAACGCGATAAATGATAAATAATTATAGTAAAAAAATAAAGTTTTTCTTTTTTTATCATAATTTTTTTTATAAAAATTATTTTTAATTTTAATGTATTATAATATATTTAAGATTATAGAAAAGATTTTTTTTATTTTTATTTTAATTCTTTAAAAATAATATACAAAGTTTTAAGAATTAAATATATATAAATGTAGTTCATATAAATTTAAATTATATTGAGTTATATAAAATGAATCATTAAAATTTAATATTAAAATCAATATAAATCATTGTGGCGATCAGATAATAGGTTATTGAACATTAAATAAATATTTACATTTAAAGTTAATATAATATAAAGTTATACAAATGTATTATAATTGATGAATTATGCTGATAAATTTAAAGTAATATTGTTATTATTAAAGTAATATTATTAAAGTAAGACTTAAATAAGATCTGTCAAATGATTAAATGATTATTTTTTTCATTGAAATTAAATTATTTGCTATTGTATAATCATATGAAATAGTAATGTTATAATGTAATTATAATGTAGACTGGAAAATGTTGATACATTTTTGAAAAAAAAAATCATAAAAGAAATAATATTTTAATGATTTTTTTACATATTTATATTCAACTACATTCTATTCTTTAACAGAAAAAAAACATAAATTTTTAAAATTTAAACAAAAAATATATTTAAAATGTTTTTTCGTAAATGACAAATCTCTTCCACTTATAGAAAGATTGACGCATAATTGTAGAAAATATAAGACGTAAAAACAAAATAGTTTATTTCATACAATTATTTCATACATTTATTTCATCAAATTTTATAATGAAATATTTTTGTCCGAATGTAATCAATACATTGTGACACCATTTGGAATATTTGACATAAATCCAATGCTCATTTAATTTGGAATATGAATATAAAGAATTTGAATAAATACAAAGTGCATCTTTATTTTCACTTACGTTTTCAATATTAATATAATATTAATATAATATTAAAATCTATAAGATTAACATTATAATTAAAATTTTGTGAAGTTAATAAATATTCTTCTTAAAGTAATTTTTCTTCTTCGTTTGTAAATATTTATGATTTATGAAATTTAAAAAATTATATTTTTTTAATTATATTTTGTTAATTTTATATTTAATTATATATTTAGATAATGTCATTTTATTGATTTTATACTTTTTAGCTGTTGTTCTTGTTGGTTTACTTTCATTAATAATTTTCAATACAATATTTTTAATACATTATTAAGTGAATTTATTTAACAATTTTTAGAACTTCCTAAAAATCTATTAAAATATATAAGTTTTCATTATAATTTATTTGCTGAAAAATATCTATTACAAATTACATAAAATTAAACTATTTTAGGAAAGTATAATATATGTATCAAAACTATCTCTTGATTATATGTTTCATATTTCTTCAAATTTAAAATTTTTAAAAAATAATTCTAATGATATTTAATCTACATTTAAAACAACAAGAGTTGACATATGTAATATTGAGTGTATTTTCACATAAAATTAATAATATTTCAAAAATCAGTATACAATGATAAAATCATTATTTTTTATATATATTTATTATATATATTTATTTATATAAATAAAATAAAGTATTTTTATATTTTTGTTCGATATATTTTTCTGCATGAAAATGTATTTCCTTTAATAAAATAGTTTTAAGTTATTAAATTTCTTTAAATTGTAATCTACGATCTACATGGAACATTCTGAAACTGAAATATAGACTTCTTTTTT